CGGCGCCGGCCAGCGCGCCCTCGGTCGACGCCTCCGCTGCCGTTCCGCAGTTGGTCGTATGTGGGCCGTAAATACAGCTAATTTGTACGAAATGACTGATTTTGGCATTTGTATAATCCTCGAGTCAATTTAACCAAGTTGAGCTTTTCACAGCCCTCGGTGCTGCGGCTGCTCATCTGATTACACCGCTCAGGGGAATAAGGTTAAGGGCGGGCTGTCGGTAACCAGAGCATTTCCAGGGCTTCAGCGCAGCAGATGGGCTGCTTGGCTGTATTCATACATCTGCTTGCCTGCGGTGGCAGCTGCTGCCGCTTCATGTTGTGTTCTTTTGTTCTGTTCCATCCAAGAATGGAACGCCAGGAAGTGTAGTGAATGGATTAATTTAAGGTTAAGGTTAGTGTTTTGCTTGCTTTCTAAGTAACCGATCATAATAATGCTTCTGGTAGAAGCTAATGAGTTTCTCTTAAAGTGAACCAGATTTATAAAATACAGCCCAGCCAGGGGGCTAGATTAGTATTGTTGACGGCGACCAAATTCAAACGCGGAAAATGCTGGCAGTTTTTATCACTTGTTCCTAATTCTTTGTTTTCTCTCCCCCCCACCCCCCACCCCCACTCCCTTCCAGGACCTATATCCAGACTTTGCCTGACACTGCAGGGTCCAAGAGAATTAAAGAAATATGGAGTGACATGAAGAAGATTAGTCAGGATTATAGGCTCTGAGGACGAGCCCTCAGTGAAGTGACGCACAGCCAGGCTCCCGCGCGCTGGGCTGGAGGAGCCGTGTGTTGGGAGAAGATGGCGGATCCAGGAATGATGAGTCTTTTTGGCGAGGATGGGAATATTTTCAGCGAAGGCCTGGAGGGCCTTGGAGAGTGTGGTTACCCTGAAAACCCGGTGAATCCCATGGGTCAGCAGATGCCGATAGACCAAGGCTTTGGCTCGTTGCAGCCATCCCTCCACCATCCCTCCCCTACCCAGAGTCAAACCAAGCTGACCCACTTCGATCACTATAATCAGTACGAGCAGCAGAAGATGCACCTGATGGATCAGCCCAACAGAATGATGAGTAACGCCCCTGGGAACGGACTGGCGTCTCCCCACTCGCAGTATCACACCCCTCCCGTCCCCCAGGTCCCCCACGGGGGCGGCGGCGGCGGCCAGCTGGGCGTCTACCCTGGCATGCAGAGCGAGCGGCACGGACAGTCTTTCGTGGACAGCGGCTCCATGTGGGGTCCCCGGGCCGTGCAGGTGCCGGACCAGATCCGGGCCCCCTATCAGC